TCCACAATAATACAAACATTGTATAAGCATATTTTTTCTTTGGCTATACATTCATTTTCTGGATTTTTACTTTCAAATTCCAACTTCACCAGTTCTAGTGTGATCATCCATCCCAATTTTTCCAGGACTGGGCTGGGGGGTTTTGGGTTCCCAGGACATGGAACTTTCAGTACTAAAGCATGGATAGTTCCAGGAACACTGGGACAAGTTTGTTCTTGCATGATCTTGCATAATTTACTTCATTCCTCTGCTCTTTGTTGCAGTACAAATGATACCCTCTACACTGCCTTTTTCAGTTTTTCCTTCTAAGTCTATACTTTCTCCCCATGCTATTTCATTTGTCTTAATGGTTTTATTATAAAGTAATTGCTCACAAATGAGTATATCTCACTAACCCTCTACTGAGTTTGAGATATGAATAGCCAAATACCTTCTGGATGTTTCAATTGGAGATTGGCCATTAATACATAAACCTACTGCTAAATCTAAACTTGCTTTCCTGCCTAAATTAACTCTCTTCTTGGTTTTATCACATTCACTTAATCTCTTGAGCTGAAGTGAGTTATCTCCCCTCATCTTTACTTTATTACTATATCTAATGAATCACTATACTCTAATTATACTACCTGGGAAATTTTCTCAAATCTGCCCTACTTCCTACCTCTCCTACTTATCCTACATCTAAGACTGATATTGATGAATATACAAGAGTTTCTCAGATTTTTTAAATCCATATTCACTTTGAAAAACTCAAAAACCCATAATGATGTGTCAAATTTCAAAATAGAGTATTAAAAATAAAACCTAAGACAAGGCACAATTAATTATTTACTTTTTCCAAATTAGACAAATGCCCTGTTCTTCAGAGAGTCTGATGCAGCACTTTCTACCTCCTGTCTTTCTCTTTCACATACAACGCCCACACTCACCTCCACACACATGAACTCCTACCCATGCACACAGCCACACAACACACCACTACACATACACACACGTTCTTAGGCTCCAGCAATGTGCATATGTTTTAAATTACCCCAACATAACCTGATGTTTTGGACCTCAGGGTAACTGCTCTCTTCTTCTGGAAGACTATACTCCAAAACTGCCTACCTACTGAACTATACATCTTTCAAAACTCTTATTAACTATTGCAGGCTCTGTAAATCTTTCTTTTGACCACATGAACCCCAAACAGAATAAATCATTTTTTAACACATTGCACTTATCATGAAGTATTATAATTGATTTGATTATGTAACTGTCAGCTCCCACTTGAGAGAGAACTCTTAAGACAGGAATTCTGTCTCATTTATCTATGCATGTTATACCTGAGGAATAGCAGGCATAAGACTCAATTTGTTGAACGCCACCATTATTGTTGATATATTTATTACTTTGATTAAGTGATGACAACTTATGCAGCATGTCTAAAATATGACTAAGTGACATTTTAATAATAGCTGAAAAAGAATATTTGGATAGTTTATACACACAGTTATCAAAAATATAAAGTATATTGACATGTGTATCCATCAATCTAGACTTGCAAGATAAAATGTACAAAGTAACATAAGTGTAGTCACCCTACTTCCTGTATACCTACCTCTCTATCTCTCTTTTCCACACCCACATAGTCAAACATTTTTATTTATTTTTTATTTTTTTATTTTTTTATTTTTTTTTAAGATTTTATTTATTTATTTGAGAGAGAGAGAATGA